ATTTAAATTTAAGAACATATATGTGACTAACGGGGAAACGATGATAAAAGAATGGTTGGAGGGAGAAGGGGTTGGAGGGAGAAGGTGTTGGAGGGAGGAGGGGTTGGAAGGAGGATGGTTGGGGGGTAGAAGGGAGGATGGTTGGGGGTTAGAGGGTGAAGTTAAGGGGAAGGACAGACAACCGAATCAGCGAAAGAGAATGGAAGAGATTAGATTTATTTGTCTAATTTACCATTAATATAATGCTGGAGGCCTAAGGGGGAAATAGGCAGGAAAATAATAACATGGCATTTATTAATGTCACACTTGTAGATATATTATAGTTAAATTCTGCAGTTGCAAATAAAATTGACAAATATTTTAAAGAATCTGGCGAACCATGACAAATATTGTGGAGCTATTAGACAAAAAATATAAATATGAAATTACAAAAAAGACAAACTGAAAATGTTTGAGTAAACAGATTAACAGCTTAATTTAAACCTCAAAATAAGTAACTTTTGAAATTTTCTTCCTTGCCAACATAAATCCGCAAGTCACTTTAAAACCACAATTTTCACATTAAATATAGGACATCTTCCTCAGTTTTCACATTAAATATAGGACATCTTCCTCAGTTTTCACATTAGATATAGGACATCTTCCTCAGTTTTCACATTAGATATAGGACATCTTCCTCAGTTTTCACATTAAATATAGGACATCTTCCTCAGTTTTCACATTAAATATAGGACATCTTCCTCAGTTTTCACATTAAATATAGGACATCTTCCTCAGCTTTGTATCAAATAAAGGCTATAATCACAGACTACACAGACTGCTTATCACCTTTCACGGGGTGGGCTACGTAGGCCTACGTAGGATAATCGATCTATGTAACTCTCTTATCTCTGGCTATAAAGAACTGTAATGAATCAGGATGTAACTTTTGAATTGAGGATCACTGTAGATTACGTTGACATTTCCTTTAAAGATTCATAGCTGGAAAATTATAGATAAGTGACTTAGAAGAAATCACGGATTAAAGAAGGTTACAAAGTTTGAAGCTGTTTTATCATTTTTAGTGGCATACGTTTAATGGGTATACAGGATTGTATATGGCAGGGGGGAGGGGATCTAAAAAGTGTAAGAGGGGGTGGAAAAATAAACGATGAGTAGAGGTTTTTCAGCATTTGAAAATATATCTAAAATTTTACAACAATAAGAAATAAATCTTTTTTAGTTCTTCTGCAGTGTATAGGTATGCAGCTGTCTAACACAATACCCCTCCCCCCCCTTCCTATGCCCATTAT